CACTTGCAGTGTACAGTGCAGTTCTAAAGGTGCACATCTTATGGTGTTAAAACAACATTTCATCAAAATAGAATATATACATAAATAAGAAAGGAAGGATCTGTAAGACTCTTTAGCCCTTATTAGCTTACTCCTGTGTTATAGAAAATAAAAAGGTAAAGATTCTGGAAAAAATGCCACATGAGCCAGGAAGATAATGCATAAGTGGAAAAATGGTGTTGTTCAGTAATGCTGAATACTTTATAAGTGCTGATGTTGCCCATGGACAAACTCTAAGAGGGTAAAGGATGTTTTGTTCCTTCTCAAAACAGTTACAGCAAAAAGTTGTAGCAAGTGCCGTTTTCAGAGGGAAGAAGGAAGGCTACGTGCAGAGCATAAACCAGCCTTTTGCGGATACTCGACTGAGTGAGTACACCCCAAACCTCCTGAAGGGCTTGGCCTTGTGGTCCTTGGTCAGAGAAATGTTGACAAAATAAGTTCAGTTTCTGAGAGGAAATTCCTGCCTGACAGAGGCAACATCTCCTGCTGGGTTTGGACCCAATCACTTGAATCCCCTTGCCCTGTTGTGTTTAGTGGTCACTGACAATTTGCCAGACTTTGTTCTCTTGCTGGGAGTATCTGGACTATCTCTGTACGGTAGACGACCATAAATCCAAGCATAAAAAGCTGGGACTGACAGGGACCTGTTCTTGCAGTGCTGAGTGGAGTAGAGAAGCTGAGCTGGGTAGAGAAGCTGCCGGCTGTGGGGATCAAATCCCAAGGCTGCTGTTATTGGAAGCTCCCAAACAGCTTCAGCTGAAGCACTGTGTAGAAAGAAAAGTGACCTGGACTCTTCTTAGCACAAATCCTTTTGTGTTAGAACCTGAACCAAGGACAGATCCCCAATCAGCCAACAATTCCCAGCATGAATTACTTATCACGCAGTAAAATCACTGGAATAGGTTTAGGAGTAGTGTCTAAACCATTGGTTTAAAAGAGTTTACCAATGGGGCAAGGATTAATGGGGTTAAGATAAATAACGTAGCAGTTCTGTCTTTTGCTGGTGGGAGCGGTGGCAATCTGTCATGTGCACTCAGTTTGTCTTTCTGGTTTAATCCTCAGAAGAGAATGATATAAACCCCAAAGTACTGCAGCTCATCCAAGGTGAGAAGATCAAGGTAAGGGAAGAAAGCTGGAGCTCAGCAGCCCATCCGCAGGTGCTGCCCTTGAACTAGCTGCGTCCAGATCCTGAGTCCTGGAGCCAGCCAGTGGGAGGGTGTAGGACACCAAAACCTGAAATTATCATAAAAAGAGGTTTGCAACAGGTGCTGTGAGCTGTACATTGCAGCTCCTGTTGCTGCCTGCTGAGCTGCCTCCAGAGCAGGGCCTTGCTGGAGTGCCAAATGCTGACACCGGCTCCTTGCTTTCAGTACGCAACCCCTGTGGTGAAGTATGACAGGAACGGGTTCAAAGCACGAGAGCGGCTGCTTGTTCTGACCCAGTCCTCGGCATATGTGGTGGAAATGGCAAAGATCAAGCAGAAAATAGACTACGCCACTCTGAAAGGTAATGGCGTCAACTGGTGTGGGGCTTTCCTTCCTATCAGTGACCCTGCGGTGGGGGAAAGACAAGCTTCTGAATCTTCCACAGATTTTTTTTTTTCTTGGATTTAGGGGACTAGAAGTAACCGGTGGTCTGAGGAGAGGCAGGGGAACTGTTCTGTAACAGGACTAAAGATCTCCAAATGACTTGAAAGAATACTGATTATAGTGGTTTCATGATAGCATAGAAGGGTATGGAGCAAATGTTTAATGCTTGTTTACTGGTGGAAATGTGGATGGCAGAAAGTGATCCTCAGAAGGTATCTTAAAAACTTGGAACATAATGAAACAATGCTCCTTTTTTAGAGTATGTCTAAGTAGGGAAATACACTTTCTTCATCCTTAATAAGATTCAGAGCCCCTCTTCAGGAATGTGACTTCCTTCAGTAAACAATTCAGTGCTGGAGTCACTGCCCGTGAGAACAGCACCCTTATGGGATGGTGATGGTCACGTCGTGTAGCTGCCTGGCTGTCTTTCCTCTAACGTTTGGGTTTCTTCTGAAGGTATTTCCACCAGTAACCTGAGTGATGGGATTGTAGTCATTCATGTTCCTGAGGACAACAAACAGAAGGTAGGAAGACGAAATGTCGCTACTGTGAATGTGTGGTTAGAAATAAACTCTTGTAGCTGACACTTCAAATATTTTGCTTTGAAATCCTCAGATACACAATTACTGATGTTTACTGATTGGTAATCAGCTGTCTTAAACACTTGTTGTTTTACCATAAAAGCTTTCACTTCTGTTTAGTGTCCAGGTTACTATAAATCCTAAATAGTCCCTGGAGAGGATGTTTAACCAGTCAGACTTGTAGATACATGCTTGTTGTAATTGTTCCGTGCTCACTTCTGCGCAGCAATTGCTACTCTAGCACTAGAAAGGAGTTTCTCTGAAGGTACAACTGCTGGCTGCCCTGTGTGCTGGTGTAATGCCAGCTAACTCTGCCTCTCCTTTGTTTCCAGGGAGATGTGATCCTTCATTGTGAACATATCTTTGAGGTAGTCAGTAAACTCTGCATGCTGGCCAATAAGCAAAATCTTGTTAAAGTTGTGCAGGGAAGGTAAGAAAGAAAGTTGAATGGGTAGTGTTGTGTAGGCTGTATTTTGTGGAGGTCTCTGCTTCGAAGGCTTGGGTCTGCACTGCTTAGCTTTGAGAACTGCCCGCAGTCCATCTGCTTGAAACCCCAATATGTTTATAGATGACTGTACTTGAAATGCTTTTCATTGCATTACTGGCAGGCCTGTTGGATCTGGCTGTACCCACTCATCTTCTGATGTGACCTGGGCCTGAGGTTGTGGGTTTAGTGGCCTCGCAGCAGATCTCATTAGCATCAGCTCTGACTGAGAAAAGCCTGCTGGGCTGAGCCTGTGGGTCACTTCAGGATAAAAGTTCCTTTCCCTAAAAGATTCAGAAGGCCCTGAAATGTGATTGCTGAGCACAGGAACCTTTTCAGTCACACCAGCAAGCTAATGGCAGGTGGATGCAATCTGTCTCTCAAATCAATACTTAAATTGAAACTGGCATATGAAACCTGTACTTCTGTTCCAGCTTCTCTCTCTGGCCTTTGCATTTCAATTGTAATTAGATTCTTTGTGTTCAATGGTTTACTCCAGGTCAGATCTGCTTATCTTCTAATACTTAATTGCACCAGGAAAATTCAAGAGCCCAGACTAGGTAGGCATGCACCATTTATCAAACCCTTCTGGGTTGTATGTTATAATGCAATTGTTTAGGAAATTTACCTAAGCTAGAGGGCTCTGATCTTCTAATCTAACAAGATTTGCCAAGGGAACAGAAATAAAGGGGGCTTAGAGTAAAGCCTATTGTGAGGAAAGCATCTAATAAGTAATTGTCTGTGTTTGCAGTCTTCGTTTTCGCATTGGCTCTGGGAAGGAAGGGACAATGGTGTTTACTGTGGGGCAGGAGTCGCAGATCTTTAAAGCCAAAAATGGACAACTAACAGTGGTAAGGCTTCATTTAAGACTCTGGGAGCGTGACTCACAGTTCTCTGATGCTCAGCCCTTGTAGAACACAGCTAAGTCCTAGCAAGGGCCCTGTTGTGCAAGTTCAGCAGGAGGACTCAGTTCCTTTTACAGAGCAGAGGTGCCTGACGTAACCACCCAGTCAGTGTCTGCCTCCATACGATGTGTAATAGAGGGTAATTACTTTGGGAGTTGCAGCTACTCACCTTGTACTTGAACTTTCACTGCTACTTGTTCTCCCAAGCTGGCAAGCAAGGATACTTCAAGTACCTACCATTCGCACCTAACTTACTGATTCCTTCCTTTTCTTGTCCCAGGTGTCAACCCAAGCAAAGTCTTGATGAGAAGCAGTTCCTGTTTCTGGTCCCTGTCTGGGCTAGGAACGGGAAGGAGCCTGCAGGATGAGACCAGCACCCTGCATCTCCCCTGAAATCTGTGATGCCATAGGGCTGCTGTGCTTTGAGAGTTTGCTTGTGTCTGTTAGGCACCTTTTTATAGCTTAAAACTACTCAGTTTTATCAAAACTCATTACCTTGCTGTAACATTCCAGGAAGCATAGATGCTTGTCACATGCTGTCACAGGGAGATGTTCAAACAAAAAGTTGTAATTCCACTTGTAAAATGTTGATCTCTGCACCACGTAGAGCCTAAGGCTGAGAGCTCTGACCAGTCAGGAAGGATTCAGAGAGAATGGAAGGTTTCTCCAAGCTCTACTTGAAGTCACTGTACTAATCACAAGAACGTAAAATGCAGATGAATGAAGTTGTTTCTCTCAAGCAGCATGCAGAGCTTTGTCTGAATGTAGCAATAAGGCTGGCACTCATCTTCTGAGTTGATGCAGCATCAGGGTATCTTGGTAAGCTGCTTTGTCTACTCTGCTGTGGGGCTGGGAGGTTGTTCCTGTCCCTGCAAGCAGCTATGCACAGCGCAGTGAGACTCTGGGAGTGGCAATGTGACAGATGACCAAAATTCTTCCCTTTTAAGAGGGATGACATGCTGCCTTAGTGTAATTCTGTTCAGAAGAAAAGTCTCCTGCTGGTTAAGAACCTTTGTATCTATCAGAGCTGAGATTCTGCTTGTTCTGTGAGTGGGGGAGGCATCCCTGTTCCCTCAAGGTGGGTGTTATGGCAGCTGCTGCCTGGAAGCTGCAGTGGTGCTGCCAATCTGGTTGTAGCAGCTTACTCTGCTGCCTCATGTTGAGGCAAACTGGCTTGATCTAGGCTGAAACTGCAGCCTAAGGAGCCCTGACTTGGAATTCTGCAGTCCTTAGAGCAAGATTAGCTGGTGACTTGGCCATGAGGTTACCAGGAGGTGAAATGAACAGCTAGGGTAAGGATGATGTGTAGTAGTTTTTACCAAAAGTTCTTTTGAGCTCCATGGCCCCTGAGGACAGCGTGCTAGCCATTGAACTTCACATGAGTAATAAAGCAACTCCCATGTAAATATGAAATATCTTCTAATTTATTTTGTCATATTAAAAAAAAAAAAGTACATATTGCAAACATCAACCATACACTGAAGTCCATCTTAAGCTTTTTTGGGTATAAGTACAAAATAGGAGGGAATGATTGTACAGAACACAAAACACAACAACTCCATTAAGACTAAAGGGTTCCACCCACCCCTTGCACAAAGGTAAGACTGGAGCTTGGAGACTTTGACCAGGTGATGTCCTGCAGCAGGGGGGGCTCCAGAACGTGGCTGTACAAATACAGGAGTGGCTGCTTTGGGGAGCTACAGCTGTTCTGAGGGGTGGGAGCAAACACGTTCTTAGCTAGCTTGGGGCTGGGGGTTACTCTTGCCTGTCCTGTCCACCCCTAACCGTATCACAACCTGCTGCTTTGAAGCTTTTCTGCATTTCTATAATGGACTAAAATCACCTCCAAGAGCAAGGCTTCAGCCTGCTTTACCCTGTCAGTATTATGGGCTGTTGTTGGGTGCTGAAGAGTAATGTGCACGAATCCCAGGAGGCAGGGCTGCACCGTTTATGCCATGCAGTACTCCATCAGCTTGTGAGCAGGGTGGCTGCCCTGCACCCTGACTTCCCCCGAAAGCCGTAGTGGCAAAACCATTTAAAGTAAGAGGCTCAAGGGCTAGGAGTATTTGTGCAATGGCATTAAGGAGCTGTGGGAGCTGGTTTTGTTCATTAAGTCTCAACAAAGCAAGGACAAGTGGCCAGTAGGTAAAGGCTGTTGTAACATGTGCAGCAATACATCGTTATTAACATCGTTATTAACATCATTATTACACAGCTGGGGCAATTAGTTCAGTTTGGAGTGTGTTAAAGCAGAGCCTGCCCATAATCCAATACCAAAACTGAAACCTGCTCAGACTCTCCTGGAGTGACTAAAGCAATGCCTACAATAAACAGCTGTAAAAGATTTAAAAAAAAAAAAAAAATCATCCCCTATCTTTTAAGAACATAGTTTGCAAAGCCTGAAAGAGGAAATCCCGAAGCCAGTTACTCATCTATTTACAGAGAGGTTAATCACAGAGCTGTGACCTCTCAGGTGCTCAGCATCTGGAGCCAAAGCTGCTCTTGCACCCCAGGAGGGGACTGGATGGCGTTTGAGCAGCCCCCACTGCCCAAAGCTCCTCTGCCCCTGTGCTGAGCCACCTGCTGGCCCCACAGCCAGATAAAGAGGGGGCTGAGGGGATGCAGGAGTCAGACAATGGCTTAAAACAGGGCAGAGCACAGACACTCCCACCCCCCTGAGGGCAGTAGGCCTGTTACAGCCCCCCACAACCAGCCCCACAACACACCAGTGTCAAAGTGCACGGTGCCAGAGAGCGATCCCGGGGACTTTACTTCCACACTCCCCAGCTTATCGCATGAGGAAGGTAAGGGAGAGGCACCGGGGCCTCACAACCAACTGCACTATGGACTTGTACGAACCCACAGCGTGCACTGCTGCCAGCACACGCAGGTACGGCTTAAAACAGAAGCCCAGGGTAGGAAGGACAGGGCTGAAGCTGCTGAACTACACTGATAGGGCTGGGCACTGCTGAGTTCTCACTTATCAGTAGCTGAAGAGAGATAAGAGGAGACAGGAACAACAATCACATCTGCCACAGATGGTGTCTGTAATTTAGAAAAGTCTTTGGTTACTAGAAAGACAGATTCAGCCTAACCGTGAGCTTGTAGTCCTACACGATGCTCCAGAAGCGTAACCCGCACAAACAAAAGGCTTCAGCCTTAGCAGTTAGACCCCAGCCAGCTGCTCTGCAACTGGAGATAAAACATCGCTGGTGATGCTGACCACACCTTTGGTTTTTGACGTGTTAGGATGCCATCAGCAGCCCTGAGCGGGAGCAGACCTCCTTGCAGCACGAAGTTTACAGAAGCAAATACCCACGTAAAGACAGAGCTGCTGCTCTGTGAGACAGCTGGCTGTCGAGGCCAGTTGATATTCCAGATGAAGAGTCAAAAATAATAGAATAAACCAAAGTGCTGTGGTGGCTGCCATCCTGCCTGGAAGTTTAATACTCGCTGCTGCTGGTTTCTCTCCCTGCCAAGATTTGCTGCATTGACCATTACAGCCGTTGCTCTTCTCACTATCCTTCAGCATCCAATCCTATCGAATTACACACGATCTACCACTATAATTGCCACTTGACTCCACACGAGGCAACACGAGACTAGGAGGTAGATAAGACACTCATTTATAATAGAGAACTACTCTCAGGAAGCGAGACGATTCAGCTTTCTCTACGTTTCAGCTCCGCCCTTTCACACACAGCTGCCATTTCTGCAAAGAGACTTGGAAATATGCTCAGGATAAAGGCAAACAAGGATCAGCCACCTCTGGGCCACCGTCTTTTCCTCCCCGTGGTACTCAGTGCAAGAAAATGCTCCCCTATCAGTCACAGAACCCACCTACGGCTGCTGGCCTCCAACCTACGTGAGGCAGGCGTGGAATGGTTGGACCTGCGATGAAATCTAACCCGTGGTGAAAGCAGGACAGAAAGCACAGCTCCCTGACCCGTAATTTGATGGAAGTAGGCTCCCTAGCACAGGTATGGGGTCAGGCAGAAGTTCTAAGCTCCAACTGGCAGCAACACCCCCAAGGAAAAGCCATCAGGTACAATTAGCTCCTGGTCCTCCATCTGGAGGAATTTTAACATCTCCCCCCAGCACTGCACCGACAAAGCAGGGCTGGGTCCCCACAATTCCGTGCTGTAGCAGCTCCACCAAACCGTTGGGGGAGAGGGCCCCGAGCGTGGTGGGGAGCTGCAGGCAGCTCCCCCCAGCCCAGCACCACGCAGGGCTCCCTCTACGCCAGGCACTGCCAGCACGAGGTGCTCAGCACGTGGCTCTCGTTGGGCTGGCAGCCGTGCTGAGGCACTCCCGAGCTACCGACCCTATCACCTGCAGGCCTGGAGGAGAGGGAGCTCTGCAGCAGCTCCGGTGCTCGGATGGCCACGTTCCTCCCACGCCGCAATGCCCGGGAGGAGACAGGGCCAGGGAGTGCCTGGAAGGAGGACAGGCGGCTGACTGACCTTTTGTTGCTGTCGGGTTTGTCTGTCGGTTTGGTTTAAAGTGCAGGATAATTACAAAAGCCAAAGGAAGCCAGCCTTCTTCCTCACTAACCACAAAAGAGCAAAAGACGAGAGTGCTAAAAATTCAGGGCATTTCTCCCCGACGCTCAACGGGGCCTCACACATCTACCGCACGCCCGGTGACCTTTCTTATTCCTGTCCTAGAACTACTGCATTTAAATACCCCCAAATAATCTAGTTTGTTACAAAAACGGAATTTACAGACTTGGTTGAAGAGAAGAGGAGCTGCCCAGGCAGCCCCACTGCAGCCGGCAGCCTGTGGGGCCGCTCACTGGTGCAGGTGGGCTCTGTCGTCCGGCCGCTTGATGTGAATTCTTCGCACGCGCTCGATGCGCTCCCGCTCCTCATCTTCCTCCAAGTGGTGGGAGCGCCCAGCTGCCCCTCCTGTGGCCTCCAGGAGCGCGTTGTCAGGTCCTCTCCCGTCCTGGGACTCGTACAGCAGGATGTTCAGCGTCTCCTCGTAAATGCGGGCTTCTGGGAACTCCACCTGCCCACCGAGAGAGAAGGTCACTGTCAACTAAGTGCCAGTCGCTGCAGGCACCGAGTTACCTCATTCTTTCCTCCTGATACCTCTCTGTTTTTAAAAAATTCTTAGTTGTACACTAGCTGTAGAAATCCTTTCTAGCACAAATGTTTCCATTTTGTTATTTGCTTTCAGCCACTGAGACCCAGCAAGTCTTATTTTCAGATCTGTCCCACTCACAGGGCAGATTCAGTCAAATTTCTCCTGGGAGAAGGAAAAAGGAAGAGGGAAGGGATGCTGCTGCTCACCAGGAGCTCTCTTTACACAGGGCTGGCCACCAAATTTGGGTTAGTGCACGGGTCTGCCTGAAGACAAGAACTGAATTGAGCCTACACCACAGAACATCACAACTGCCCCTGTGTGAGGTGCTGCACCCCAGCAGCCCACCCCCAACACACCCCCAGGATGAGCTGCACTGTGCTGCTCTCACTGTGAATGGGAATTTATTGTTCTATTGAGATGCTGGACAATGAAAAGAGCATTCAAAAAGCAACAGATGTCAGGGTGCCAGCCCAAGGGCCCAGTGCTGGAAGCGTTCAGGGGTTCACTCGTACCTTGGTCTGCTTCTTCTCAGTAGCGTACACAATGGAGGTGCAGCAGACTTCAGCGATCTTCCGTCCCTGGCCGTAGAAGGACCAGCAGCAGATCTCGTCTCCGATCACGTCTTTTATGAACAGCACCCTCCCGTTGAACCGCAGCGAGAGCTTATCGAACAGCTCGATGTTCTTCAGCATGTTGTCGTCAGAGTTGCTGTGAGAGACAAAGAAGGCAGCACGTTAGGGGCAGGACAGAAGGGGTCAGGCAGCGAGCATTTATTGGCCTGCACGCCCAGCTTCCTCTGACTTCCTACGTCTCTACCATGGTGGTGTTTGAAGAAGGTCTCCAGGACTGCAGTGGATAACTCAGAGCAAACGTATCGTGGAATTCAGTCTACAGACAACTTCAAAGAGCTGAAGTCGCTTACCTGGTGTAGGAATATTTGTTGTTGCTCCTGTTATATAGCAACTTCACCGCTGGCTGTAAAAGGAAACAAAGCACAGATCAGTTCCATGCCACGCGCTACGCACTGGAGTCCCTGCTCAGCCCGAGACCACACAGCAGAGGAGCTGCAACACGAAATGATGCCACCAGGCCCAGACTCGGTGGGATTTCGTTGTTCCCACAGAACTGTCATGCTCTGGCTGGCAAAAGGCCTGCAATCCTCAGAGAAGGATCCTCTTCTGTGCCTAAATCCTAACTCGTTCTCACCCTCCCCTCTACCTACCGCAGCCAGCAGGACAGGAGCAGGGGTCACTGATCCACTTTAGCTAAGGAAGCATCTGGCGTTATTTCCCAGTGAACAACCCAGCAGATCTGCCAGCCCCCAGCACCCGCCCTGCTTCTGCTGCAGCCTGTGCAGAACGACACCGATTTTACCAGCTTAAGTGGAGAAAGACACGGCCAGGCCCAGCCTGAGCAACGTTTGGCTTTTAATTTAGAAGAAATATTTAGTCCGGTGTGGATTTCCAGTGCTCTGCAGCTCAACAGTTACAGAATATTTGTTAAATACTTGGTCAAGATCCCAAGCAAGCCCAAGGGCAGCAGGCCAGCACCCTCCCGGGCGCAGCCTCTCTCACCTTATTAGAAGTGGCGATCAGCTTTTGCTCCTCCTTGGACGACGTGATGACCGGGACCTTGCAGAAGGGTTCATACGCATCTTTGTTCTGCTGAAACAAGAAGCAAACGGACGCTGAATGCACACAGACCTCGAGGCACACCAGCATTCACTGGGCAGATTCTGTTCCACTGCTGGAGAGCTGCAAGCTCAGCGTGTGATCTGCCTTCACACGGCACCGAGCAGCCACTTCTGGTCCCAGTTCTGAACCAAGCTGGCGCTCCAGCTGCGGGGCAGCTTCCCCCAGGGACCATCTGAGCTGCTCGGGAATTGCAGGGACTAATTGGTTTGTATGTAATTAAACAGCAGGAGCCAGCTGTGCGACCTACCTGCAGGGCTGCCTGGCACTCGTCCACCAGCCCCTGCACCAGGTAGTATTTTGCCTCGGCCAGCAGCTCCTCGATCTCCCGGCGGCTCTCGGGGAGCGGCACGGCACCGTCGCGCAGGTAGTTGAGGATCGTCCCAAAATGCTTCCCGCAGCGGTCGATCAGGATCCAGCCTGGGGGAAAGGGAAGAGCACGGTCCAACAGAGGCCAACGCGGCCAAAAACCTCGAGTCTGGCCCAGGAGCACTGCACCAAGCAGGCTCCTGCCCAGCTCGAGCCACCAGGCGGAGCAGCACTCGCACGGGGGGCTTGCTGCCTCCCTCCTGCATTTTTCTCGGGTATGGGAGCAAGGCAGGAGGCTCACTCGTTTCTCACAGCTCCCCAGCTATTGACAAACGATTACCTGTTAGAGAGGAACGAGTTCCTCTTGTTGTCAAAGCAACCAGCTCTGTTCTGCCTCTGCTCACGGAGCCCCTGGCTATTTTCTCACCTTCTGAGGGCCCTGCTACACGCACACAGACTGAGCCATCTGTGGGTTCCTGCACCTGAGCACAACGTCAGGACCACCACCACCTCCAGCAGATGTGCCAGAGGTCAGAAAAAGAAAGGCAGCACAGACGTGGGACCTGTCCCTGCCAACACAGCTCCGCTCTGTGCAATCCCCAGGTGAGCTACGAGCAGAACGGCCCCAAACTGCCGAGCTGAAACACGTGAGTGGGACAGCCCAGACGGCCCCTGCCCCAGCTCAGCAGCACCTCTGTGTGATGGGAAGGGGGTGAGAGACCCCACAGAGCCACACCAACCCGCTCTGCAGCGCTGAGCTGCTGGCAGGGGGATCTCTGCCTCCCCTCTCGCTGCCTGACACGGGCCGGACCCCGCGAGGCGTTTCGCAACGCCCAGACACCGGCGAGTTTCCATAAAGGAGCAGGCGGCCGCTTGCGGGCTGCAGCTCAGGAATGCAGCGAGGAAAGGCTCGTGGGGAAGGAGTCATATTTTGGACAAATAAGGCAAGGAGGTTAAAGCAGACCCCGCGCCTTCTGCGGGAGTGGAATTAGTGCTAAAACCCCAGCGTTTGGGTACGTCTGGGAGGCCGACACGTCCCCCTTGTGCTGCTCTGTGGAAAGCAGAGACACCCTCGGGAAATTTCCTGCAGGCTCCCTCCTCGCCCTGCTGTCTACACGAAACACGAGGTGTGCTCCCAGCTGGAACTCCGCAGGCTGCAGTGACAGAACAGAAAGCTGGAGGCAGAACTGGAGGCAGAAATGAAATAAAATCCTGATCCAGGCCGACAAACACAGCACAGCGACACAACCAGGGCTGAAAGGAGCCCGTTTGGAAGCACAGGGGGAGAAACCTGCTGCACCTTCTGATTGCAGATGGCAAAAGCAAAGAATTGCTCACTGTCAGGCGGGGCGGGGGGTGAGAAAGCGTTTTCGAGCAGCATTGCAAAACACAAAGTGGCTGCTGCAGCAGCTTTGACGAAATCCTCGTGTTTTAACCCAATGAGCGAAGCTGCAGCCAGATGAAGATGACTCACGGGAAGAAATCCCCGCTGGGTGAGGGCTGCGCAGAGCCCAGGTAGCGGGGCTCAGCGGGGGCCTTTTGAGGCCAGCTCTGCTTGCAGTGCCACAGAAACATGCTGGGATCCAGTTACCGGGGCAGGAATACGTTATCCGTGAGCTGGAGGAACAATTTCTCAGCCAGGCTGCACACAATCACCTGCCACCCCCGCAGGGAACTCCTCTGTCCCCCCCCAGTGCAGGCAGCAGCGTACAGGAGCTGCTGAGCTTGGGGAAGGAGCTGGGGAAAAGGGACTGGGGTCTGAGGAACGCCCCCACACAGAGGGGGGCACGCAGCACAGCACCGACGCCCCCAGCTCACAGCCAGACTCTGCTCTTTCCCAGTCTCTCCCCAGATCTGGCTTCTCTTCCTGAGAGCCGCTTTGTTTTCTGCCAGCCTCTGGGTGTGACCGGTTGGGAGCATTTTGAGGAGTTTCTGATAAAGGGTTTCCTCTGACAGCCCTGCCCCTATTGTCCCCGTTCCCAGCGCCGCGCCGGGCAGCAGGAGATAAAGCAGGAGCTGCTGCGGGGGCAGAGCCTCGGGTACGGAGCAGGAAGCCTCGGGGTCCTAACACCACACGAGCTGCCCACACAGACACAGCGGGATTTAGGGCAGAACCAGCCCGGGATTTTACAGCTCAGGCAGGATATTTGAGAAAATATTTGATATCAAACCCCGGGCAGCAGCAGAATCAGCACCACAGGAGGCAGAACGCGCCCAGCTCCGTGCCTCCAGCCGGAGCCCGCCCTCCACAGCTCCAGCAGCACGAGGCAGCTTCTCAGCACCCCCAAAAACACAAGCCCCTCCAGCTAAAACGGGGATATTCAGAGGAGCCTGGTGGGTTTTGTGGCTGTTTGTTGTGTGTTTTTGTTGTTTTTTTTTTCCTAAGCTTTTTTTTTTTTATTCCTCCAAATCCACTTGCTCCTGCCCCGGGGCAGCTTAGTGCCAGAGCCCTGCTAATCCTACGCGTGTCCCGCCCCAGCTCTGCACGCAGGCACCCAGAGCTCAGCCCGATTCACCCAGCCAAGCATTTTCTGGGCACTCCACAACAAATTCCAGGTAATTCACCCATCAGGAGAGAGGTGTTTTAGGCCCACAGCATCAGCCAGGCAGGAGCTGCTGTTAGATGGGTGTCCGAGCGCACAAACACGGCTGGGGCAGGACACCAGCAGGCTCCCAGAAAGCTGGGCCCTGAATTAAACCGTAACGCCCCCAAAACACAGGAACGCTGATCCCAAACTGTGCCAGCAGCCGCCACCCCACCACCTTTTAGCCAGGCAGTTAATTCTAAGGTGAATGATTTTCTATCTGCGTTTCAGGTGAGGAAACAAGGCGAGGAAGCTGCCTGCTGAGCTTCCATGCACGAAGCCCTGAACTCCCAGCTCCCCACCCGCTCTCCTCACCGTTTTGCACACACTCTGAGAGTTTTCAGGTTGGTTTTTCAGATGCCAGCACCAGCCCGGGCCTGACAGCACCGCCAGCTCCTCCGTGCCCCCCAGCTGGTTAAGCCACACACATCGTTTACTCCACACCTTTCCTCGGGTGTAAAAGAAGAATTTTAACACTAATAAAACACAGAAACCTCCAGGCCTGCGATGAGACGTTTCTCCCTCCCCTCTAAATCCTGCTCCAGCCCATTTGAACCCGTTTGCAGCAGGAGGCAGCGAACTGGAGCCCCCCCCCTACCTTCGCTGTCGGTCAGGACTTCCATCCGGCCGCTGAACATGGCTTTGAGCATCGTGTCCTGCTTGGTCAGCGTCTGCATGGTGGTGTAGTACAGGGCGCCGCCGATGTTCAGCTTGACGTACTTGGAGCTGGGGCTGGCGCCCTTGAAGGAGGTGGTGCGGGTGGCGGCCGCCGGCACCGCTGAGCTCACCACGCTTTCTCCCGACATCTCTTCCTGCGGGTAAGGGGGTCGGGGTGCTCAGACCGGGTTTTACCACGTGGTGCCCAGCCCTAAACCTCCCCGAGGAGCTCTCGGAGGTGTCAGATGCTGGGTCCTGCGTGGTGGTGGCAGAAAGCAGCCGAGGGGGCACAGCGAGCTGCCCGGGAAGGGCTGAGCGAAGGGCAGCGAGGCCAGGACCTCCCCCAAAAGCCGTGCTCGTTCCCTTCACACCTTTTAAATCCTAAATTCATACCTCATGAATAACCCAACTCACAACTGGGCAGTCCCCAGTGCATGGAGCCACCGCCGGGGGCTGACAGCCTGCACGCCCTGAGACCCCTCAGCCTCTTCCCTGTTCCCTCAGCCTCTTCCCTCCCCCCCTCTCCCCCTTCCCTGTTCCCTCAGCCCCTTTGCACCCCCTTTAGCTCCTTCCCTGCCCCCCCAGCCCCCTTCCCTATTCCCTCAGCCCTTTCCCACCCCCGTCAGCCCCTTCCCTCCCCCCTCAACCCCTTCCCACCCCCTTTCCTGCCCCCCTCTCCCCCTCCTTGGCCCCTTCCCTGTTCCCTCAGCCCCTTCGCTGCCCCCCTCAGCCCCTTCCCACCCCCCTCAGCCCCTTCCCTCCCCCCCCCACGGACCCTTCCCTATTCCCTTGGCCTTTTCCCTCCCCCCTCAGCCCCTTCCCTGCCCCTTTAGCCCCTTCACTCCCCCCCCAGCCCCCTTCTCTGCCTCCCTACGGACCCTTCCCTATTCCCTCGGCCCTTTCCCACCCCCCTCGGCCCTTTCCCACCCCCTCCAGCCCCTTCTCTTCCCCCTCAGCCCCTTCCCTGCCCCCTCCCCCCCTCAGCCCCTCAGCCCCTTCCCCACCTCATCCCCTGCCCCCCCCCCCCCCCCCCCCCCCCACCGCCTGAGGCCCAGCTGGGCCTAACCCCGCCGTTATCCCGGGAGCCCAGCCGCGTTAAGCCCACCCTCCCCAACACCCCCAGCCCTTCCCCGAGCCCTTCCCCGAGCCCTCCCCGTCCCCATTCCCGTCCCCGTTCCCGTCCCGGCCCCGCTCCCCCCTCACCATGAAGGGCGCGGCGCTGCCCCGCGGCCCAGGAGCGCCGGGGCGAGGAACTTCCGGCCCTGCCACTTCCGGTGCGGTGCTCCCCCGAAACCCGTCCGGGCTGCCCCCAAACCCCCTCCTCATCCCCCCCCCCTCCAACCTCACCTCTCCGCCGCCTCACCTCGCCTCACGGCCCGACCCCCGCGGGGGCATCTCCGGGGCGCGGAGCCGCTCGCTCCCGCTGCGGTTAAGCTGTGATACAGCGAGGGTGCAGGGAGAAAGCGAGGGGGCGGAACGGCGGTGGGGCGGAACGGTAGCGGCGGGGCGCGGGTTTCCGCCGGCCCCGCGGCGCCTCACGGGGCGCCCGGCTCGGGCTCGGGGGCGGCGGGCGGGGGGGGGGCGGCCCCGGGGACCCCCTCGGAGCCGCCTCAGAGCCCCGGGCGCGGCCTTCGAGGCCCGGCTGCGGCCGGGGGCGCTCCCGGTACCCCCTCGGTGCCCCCTCGGTGCCCGTGGGCTCGCTCCCGGTACTGTCTGCAGGTGATTTTGGTAAACCGGGCCCGGGGCTGGAGCACCGGGCCCGTGCTCGGGCTGTGGGGGCTGTGAGGTGAGGGCCCGGCCGCCCCCTCGCTCGTTCCGTGCTTCAACCGCCTCGGCCCGCCTCAGCCGGGCCCCCTGAGTGTCCCTGCTGCGTCCCCAGCCCTGCAGTGACCGCTTCTTGCCTTAAGCTTATTTCTGGTTTATTTCCTTAATCTTTTTTTTTTTTTCTGGTTCCCTTCTTTATTTACAGGCTGTGAAGATGTTCAGCGCCAGCCAGTCCTCCAAGGCGCAGTTCCTCGACAAGGCCCGGCAGGCCCGGGAGGAGCGCAGGGAGCTGAAGGAGCGGGAGCGCGCCGCCGTCCAGATCCAGGCCCTGGCCAGGAGGTTTCTGTGCCGCTGCCGCCTGCAGAGGGACATCAGGTGGGTGACATTCTGCTCTCTGTGCTTTGCTCGCCATCAGAGCACCGTGCTGGGGTTTAACCCCCAGTGTCGGTGCTCCCCCTTTCCTAGGAGAGAAGTGGAGGATTTCTTTGGGGCCAATGAATCCGCCTCGAGTAAAAGGAGCGCGCTGTCTGTCTTCAGAATCGCTCGGAAGCTGCTGTTTGTTTTTAACCACAAAGAGGACAAAGAGGTAAGGCTTCTACTGCGACATTCTTTCCTTCTTTCAATTACATATGTTAACGTTAACTCTGTTTAAATAGCTACCCGGTGTTCCTGGAGGCTCTTGCAATATCTTTTGGCTTCAGCAACATGATCTCTGCCTCCTGCTCCTTCTCGGAGAGGTCTCACTGCAGGACTGAAACAGAAGAGCCCCTGAATTTTTCAGTAGTGGTTCTGTACTCAGGGCATAGTTTAACAGCTGTTTTTCCTGGTGACCGTGCCAGCAGCGGTAATTGAGCTGCGCCTCATGATTTTGTCAGCTAGGCCAGCGCCCCAGGCAGGTGCGTTGTGGCAGCCCACAAAGATCTGTCCTGGCATAGGGCAGCGTGCAGGCTGCTTGTATTGCAGCTGCTGCTCTGACCTTGCCCCAAATTTGTGGCTTCAGGGCAAAGCCCTGTGCTGTAGTGTCTCTGTCCATGAAATGATGATATTTTTTTTTCCCCAGAGAGCTGTGAGGGCTAATTGAAAGGAAAACAATTGAAAAAAATGAAAGTCTGTGTTTAAATTGCAGCAGCAGGAGGTGACTTTGTGACTTTTTACATTTGTGTTCCAATAAACTCCTCCTGCTGACAAAGGGACAAGTGCTGCAAATGCATCTTTCTGGATTTACAGCATGAAAACCAAATGTGGATGCCACATATGGAATTTTTAGGTGCCTGGTGTCTGTTTGAAGTTCTGTGTTATGGTAACGAGGTGCTGAAATCCGTCTCTTCTACTTCCTCTTCAGCACAGCGCTGGTCTGTGCTTCCTTGTGCTCTGTTTCTGGGCACCCCCCTCAGTTTGGATACCGAACTGGGAAGGCTGAGGAATTCCTCCTATTTATGAGCAGTGTGGCCAAGGAGAGAGCTCGTCTGCACAGCGCTGGCAGGGCGCGTAGATGAGCTCTCAGGGAAGGAGCCAGCAGCACTGCCCGGGGGGAACGTGGCTGGAACATGTCCACGTGTAGAGACCTTGCTCCCTCTGCTCTGTTCCTCGTGCTTTTCCAGAATAGCCCCTACTGCAGTTAGAACCACCATCACTTTTGTTATTCTGTCTGTTTTTGCAGAGATTCGAAAAGCTGTGCCGGTGTATTCTAAATAGCATGGATGCTGAGAACGAGCCCAAGGTCAGCAGGACGTTGTTTGGTTTTGTTTTTCTGTGGGTGGGGATTTAGGTTGGTGTTGTGGGAATTATTTCGCTTTCAACTCCCCCAAACATGGCTGAGATTCCATCGTGACTGTTTGGAGAGGTTTCTCACTACCCCTCCAATATTTTTAGTGTCCTGTGGTGGGTGGTGTGCTCTGACCAAGTGATCTCTGGGAAGAGAGCTCGCTTGGCTCCACTGCTGGGTTCAGTGGGGCTCTGAGAGGTGGTTTTGTTACAGAGCTTCCTGGTAATGTACTTAGCCCATCAGCAGCACAAACACTGATTGTTCCTGTTCGTGTCCTGCCTGCCTCAGGTGTGGTACGTGTCCCTGGCGCTCTCCAAAGACCTCACACTCTTGTGGATCAAACAGATCAAGGACATTCTGTGGTTTTGCTGTGAATTTCTCAAGCAGCTTAAGGTAAAAAAACAAAAACATTTTCGTTGTGTTTTTGTCTGCCTGCATCGAACAATTCTGCAGTTTGGCACAGAGGTGATGAGGTTTATTAACGCTGGTGCTTCTCATTGCAGCCTGATATCTTACAAGACTCCAGGCTGGTCAATTTGCACCTCACGATGCTCGTCACCTTCACGGACACTTCTACCTGGAAAATCCTTCGGGGAAAAGGTCGGTTTATCCACTTCAGTATCTTAAGGCACTGACCTGGGGCTTGTTTTTCCAATCTCCTGAGCACTGTTTCTGCTCCTGCCTTCTCCCCATGCTTACCACAAAGATTTGCTATGCCTGTGCTCACACAAAGCAGGGAATGGCAGTAAGGATTCCTTTGAGATGAAGGAGGCTACTTCCCTTAGAACAGCAACAGCTGTTGCAAGGTTTTTATGGTTCTCCGGAGTCTCACACACCAGAATTGCTCAGAGGATAAAGGGATGTGCATTTAACTCGGTGTTTGTGGGGGAAATACAGAGAAAAAGTAAACAAGTGCAGTGAGGAAATGCAGCTCTTATAGCTTAAATGTTCCATTTTACCAAGGCTTGATGTGAAATGCTGCTAAAATGGTTGTTTTGCATCTAAGGGCAATGAATTTATGCGAGAAGGGCTTGTGAATTGACACATCAATTTATAGGTTGTGAGAGAATGAGCAGCGCAGCTGTGATACTGGTTTAATAACGTCACTGCTTTAACCTGGCAGGTGAAACCCTGCGGCCTGCCATGAACCACATCTGTGCTAACATCATGGGACACCTCAACCAGAAGGGATTCTATTCTGTGCTGCAGGTCAGTCTCAGGCTGCTACAATTGTCTTCAGTTTATTCTAAATAAACCCCAGTCCCGTGCTACAAGCTTCCATGCTCTGAGGAAGCTTTTGTGAGCTCTGGGTGGTGGTTTGTCGGGGAGAGGCTGGGTGTGGAGCACTGGTGGTTTGTGTGGGCATACTTTTCTTCAGAGCAGAGTCTTCCTGTTGAGCCCAAATACATCGTCTGCCTTTTGTCTCTACTGGCAAATCTAAATGCTACTTCATTGTCTTATAATAAGAGCAAGGACTTTGGAATGTTTTTCCTAACTTTGCTTTGTGTTCTGTTCTGTTAGGGAAAGGAACCGATGTCATTTTACCTAATCCTTTAAATTAAAATGATGCTACCAAGCTGCTATGAGCCTTGCCTGTTAATTTTAAAAGGCCTGGGAATCTTCTGAGTACAGTGCCTAGAGAAATAAGAGCTACTGGCTGCCTGATTTGAATGCAGTTTCTCTTTATGCCGTTATTAATCTGAACCCTTCTGTTCTGCCAAATATCTAGCAGTAACTCTTTTTCAGGGTTTTTTTTTGGTGTTGTTCTTTCTCTGCTCTGAAAATGAACACAACATCTTTCACAAACAGTTATAATATTTTTTTTTTCTGAGTACTGCAGGGTTTTTTTTTTGTTTGTTTTATTCCAGATTTTGCTAACTAATGGCTTGGCAAGATCCAGACCATCCTTGTCCAAAGGCTCTTTAACTGCCATCTTCTCCCTCGCACTGCGGTAAGGCAGCCAAAGGCTTTATTGTGCTGTTGCAGACCTCTCTCTGCCAGTCCCTTTGTG